GCTCTCATGTTCCTTTTTTATGGTGGTTAGTCATGCCTCTCTATTGTCTCGATTTAACGCTTTAGATACATGTTCGGGTCTGGAATTTTGTCTTTAACAACTTGATAAACTTTTCTCGGTCTTCGCATTCTCCTGTTCTTTGAATTTTTGGACGACCTCATTTTCTTTGGCCCATGCGACTCTCCTCTTGAATTTCTCGACACTCTTCTTCTAGATATTCGTCCACATTAGACTCATTATTGGACTCTTCATCTAGTTTTGTATGGTCCTCACTGTTCATCTCTGTGGCCTGATTTAGCGGCATTATATACATGTCATTCAGTGTGTGGATCGTTTCAACAAATCTCACGTCTCGTGCTATGATGATAGTCTTAGTGCCTGGTTTCCAGAGTCGATACTCTTTTGACTCATTCAAGTATCCAACCAACACGTACTCTTCACCTTTCGGATAAAGTTTTCCTCTTTTTCGAGTCTTGTCCAGCACTATAGCTTTACTTCCAATAATTTTAAAAGAAACCAACATAAGTTTTACGCTTAAACCATAGCTCACATTTGGTGTTTTTCCATCGAGGGCTTTTATCACACTTCTATTTCGTAGAAATGTGGCTGTATTAATTGCTTCTGCCCTTAGTGACTGAGGGAGACCTGCTTGCAACATTATGCACCTTACCATTTCAACAAGAGTCCGATTTGCACGTTCTGCTACACCATTTTGTTATGGGGTGTATTCGACACTTAATTGTCATACGATTCCTTCTTCTTCGAGAAAGTTGTTAAATTCATTTGATAAATATTCTCTGTAATTATCCGTACATAGCTTTTTGATTTGATGACTTGTTTGTTTTTCGACTCTTCGTTTATAAGATTTAAACACTTGGAAAATATCTGTGCAACTTTTTAGCATTATAGTTTCCATATAGCATGTATAGTCATCAATAAACATTGCAAAATATTTTGCACCTCTTAATGAGACAGTTTTCATCAGGCCACATATATCGGAATGCACTAAACCCAAAATCTCTCTCTCTATGATGCGACTTCTTAAATAGTTGAACATGTATTTTAGATCTAAGGCATATTTCACAGTTTAATTCTCTTGCTTTCGTTGAAAGGTCCATACCTTCGACTAGTTGTTTCAATTTCATTTTTCTTAGATCATTAATGTTTATGTGCCATATCTTTGGTGCCACTTTAATAGGTTTTCATTTGGTCTTCCAATTCATTCACAACATATAGGTTATCAGGTTTCATAGCTGTTAGCGTCATAGTAGCATCTTTACATTTGATGATTGCATAATTTTCCTTAAATACCACAATGTATCCTTTGTCAGTGATACTTGCAACTGACAAAAGGTTGTGGTGCAATTCTGGTACATATAATACGTTTTGTAGTTTTACGGAACTTATTGCTCATTGATTTACTTTCAAGCTGAGATTCACATCACCTATACAAACTGCTTGCACATAATTCTCTGTGGCAGTATATACTTTAGACTGTTCAATTTGATCTAGAGTTAAGAATTTGTATTGATCGTTACATGTATGTCTTGTCGCACCACTATCTAAATACTACTTTTTCAATCCATTTATGAATTCTACATTGCATGCGATTGTAGTAAGAGCACCACTAGTAACTTTCACGTCTGTGCATTTTGTTTTTGATTTACAATTTCTATCAATATGTCCAATTTTACTGCAGCTGTAGCATCTTCCGTTGAATCTTTGGCCTCTGAATTTTGTATTTTCCCTCAAGTTCGTTCGTTACTGCTTTACACGGTCAGACTTTCCCTTTAAAAGCAATGCGTCACTTCTCTCATTCTCAGTTAGCTTCATAACACGCTCCCTCTGTCTTACTTCCTCCTCTTTTAATTTTGCTTTGAGGTTTTCGAGCAACAGTATGTCAACACGACTCTACGACTTGACTAAAATTTTCATAATCGTCTGGCAGTGATCCCAGGAGCATAATCAATAGTAATTCTTCTGGGATTTCTATTCAGCTTCCTTCAGTTGATCAGCTTTACTCATGAACTTGTTTACGTACTGCGTAATCATTATATTATGCCGTTTTTCCATTTGTAGTAACTGTTTGTACAACGTTGCCTTGCTAATGGGACCCCGTGACTGGAATATTGCTTTAAGTCCGTTCCATGCTGCTTTAGATGTTTCGGCGTTTTTCACATGATTCAACTGCTGAAGACTAAGGCTTAAATTTATCAGCGCCAATGCCTTTGCGTCTTGCTTGATCCATTCCTCTGGGTTTCTTTCTGGTTTTATTTCAGTACTGTCAATGTATTTCCGCAGATTATTATATACAAGAATACTTCTCATCTGTATTTTCCAAAGTTCATAATTGTCCTCGTTCAACTTCTCAATATTTGAGAATCCACTAGGACCCGCCATACCGAATTAGATAATAAATCCGTTTACTTACTTCTTATGTTAGATATTCTTTCCTTGTAAGCAGTCCTGGCCTATAACCTGTCAGAAAATGAAGCAAATAAACTAATCTAACGATGCACAGAAATACACAATATGTAATAAAATAAAATAGTAAACTGCAAATTTATTTACTTATTTTACCATTACCTATGTATTGAACAGATATATTATACTCAGAACATTATGTAAAAACTTTCATTCACAATATGTAGCAATATAACAGTTTTAAATGGATCTCCATTTAAAACCTGGATAAATTAAATTGAAAATACAGTATAACCTCAATTATCCGGACTAATTGGGGATGAAGGTAGTCCGGATAAGGAAAAATCTGGATAAACAAAACAAATACTTTAATTTGTCTTTTAATGATAATACAACACGTTTTCTTTTCAATGACGTATTGGTTATATTAAAAATAAATACTGTATTTAAATCATGATCAAATTTTCAAGAAACAAACGTTCATATTGAATTTGTACTACTACTGACCAACGCTAACAGACTACCTATTGTTTAAAAGGCCCTCTGATGGCGCAAGAAGACGGATTTTATAAAATAAAAACTAGTTGAAACTGCTTTTTATGAATAAAAATTTGACAAACTATTTATCGTCTTATGATGAGAAAAATTTTTTTGTCGCATTCTCGGCTTTTATGTAATGCGTAAACCTTCGAGGCGCGAGGCCCTTCGGATTGCAAGGCATAGGCGGTGGCCCACATTGCCCATGCCTTACGCCGCCCTTGGTCATAGAAATGATGTAATTTGAATATAAATTATTTATAAATACGTATGTCAAGTTATATTTTTATTACGACGTAAAATTCGTAAAATTTTTGTTTATTTTGAACAATCCGGATAATCGAAAATCCGGATAATAGAGGTCCGGATAATCGAGGCTCTACTGTAATTATATTTTAGATTTATCCACATCCTCATCTGTAATTTCAAATTATCATCTCATTTAATTTTTTTTCATAAACCAAATACACTTTTTCTTTCTTTATACATGATATATAATTTAAAAATGTAATTACGAATAAGATTTTTTTTTGACAGCACAGTAGATAAAAGTTACAAAAATGCTTGGAAACAGTAAAACTACCTACTAACCAAATAGATAAACCAAATTCTTCTCGACCTAGTGTGACACTAACATCAGCTATCAGCAATATGACACATTAATTCTACTTGATAGTGCAAGGATCAGTATATCTATAGACTCTGATGGTAGTAATAGACAATAAGCTGTTTGAATTTGGACAGAGACAAAACTCAGACAATTTCATTATTAATCAGTGTACATAGCATACTTCTTGGATAATAATGAATTACAGTAATTTAAAATGTAATAATCATTTTGGAAGATCCTGTATAATGCAGTTTTGCATGAACTGTTTTTATTAGCTAATTTCGTGTTTATATTTATAGAAAGACAATGTGAAAATGTTAGTTTTTCATATTATTAAATAAAATATAATCTGTATTACCACAATATGTAATCCTAATTTTATTTGATCTTTAATCTCCTTGAATATTCTATTTATAACTTAACTGAAAAAACGTCTACTAACAAACAGATCTTCTATTCTCATACAAACAGCAGATGAAATCTAATTTTAATTGTAATAAAAGTTCCTAATGGAAAGCAACTCCATCAACTTTCAATTTGATATTTTAGTTTTCATTTTTATTAATTCAAAAATTTTTTTTCTGTTGAAAATCTTGTTAATAAAGTTGAAATTTAAGAGATAAAAAAAAAAATCCCAATTTAAATTTAATGAGTTTAATACCCAATTTTCTCAAGTTCTTCTGTGGCCATAAATTTCCCATTATTTAACCATTTCTCAAGAATCTGATCACAGAATGATTATAAAATTTTATATAGTTTATGGTGCTTTTGAGTGCATTGTCAAGGCACCCCATTTGTGTCCCAATAAGAATGTCGGTAACATACTGTATCAGTAAATGGATGTCAATGTAAGGTTGTAATGGTGTGCATCTGTATTCACATGGAATATAAAAGAAAATAAAGATAACAGACCTATTAAAGGGTGGAGGTATGCAGGAATATAGGTTTGAGTTAAAACTACTGACAATTTTGACTTAGAGACCTTATTATGTGAAAACCCTATGTACTATGCCTGGATCCATAAATGGCTTCAAGTTAATGCAATTTGACTTTGTGAGGTTTTATTATAATAAAAATTGCCCAAATCATCCATAAGTATTAAACAAATATGTTGCTTACTGTTAGGTTCTTAAGGTGTATAGAACTCTAATCGTAGATCGCCGTTTAATATATAACAAAGAAACGGTATAATGGTCTGACTGGACACTGGTCACGTCCTGCTCATCTAACTGGCCCGAACAAAACACATCCCTGAATCACGCGCCCATACGTAAGTGTAACCTGATCGGTTCCAGATTGAACCCCAGTCATTAGGTTTTTACACGTGGAAAACACCTGACCCAACAATTACCCAAGGGAATTTTAATTATTCCGAGACTAATTTGGGAATAGAAAACAAAAATTCTTTTTGAACTGTAATAATACTTACTATAAAATTTCTTTACGAGTGAAATATGTCAGGTCCTGAAAAATAGGAAGAATATTCAAATACTGTTGCAACAGATACCAACAATTATTAAAAATAATGAAACAATATACAAATAAGAACTTTAAGATTTAAAAAAATTAAATAAATATTACGATAAAATCTCTTGTATTTATCCCTGTTTTAGTTCCATTAAAATTCCTCATTACCAATATAAGACATGTCATAAAAATCAATGATACCAAATTTTTCCCTTAAATGGGATAGCTGTTTATTAATTTAACTTTATAATCCTTTATGTCAGGTATAGTATTTCATACAGCAAAGAAATATCCTGTAAAGAGTCAAAGTCCAATCATTATTTTATAATTTGGGTGTTATTTTTAGTTGTTATTTTCTTTTTGGGAATGTTTTTATGTTTTAAAGATGGAAACTCCCAAGAAATCCCCAAAATATACTAAATTCAAAATTAAGACCAATGAATATTTATTTACATAAGTGAGTGATCCTGTAATGCATATGTAATGTAAATAGAATAGTGTGGAAATTACACTTGTAATCAGATAAAAGACGACATACCTGTTCAAAGGTATGGTGTAGCTCCCAAAAGCGACCTTCCTTGAACAGAATTGTCTGGCATTCTTTTGATAGTGATTAACTCATGAGGTGTATTCTTTGCTTCTTATTTGATGTTGGAGATTTAATTAATTGTACAGTACATTCCAAGCTGGAATGAAGAATTTTTTATTTGATTGATTGTTTTTCTGCTTGTACGTAATTGATCTTGATTTATTTTGAATATTTGAAATTTATACTTATTACTAACTTCTTGTTTATAACCATTGTTTATTTATATATATTACTGTTCAATCTAATAAATTTATTGTGGATTTTTGCTTATACTAGCTGTTACCTGCAACTTCACCCGCAGAGGTTTTGCAAACAAACCCCATTTATATTCAGTATTTCAACAACCATAGTAATTGTTATATAACAACTACTGCTGAGAATAACGAGAATTGCCAAGAATCAAATGAACTGTTTTCAATTTGATGAATTTTCTGGAACGTGTACAATCGTTCTATAATCGAACCAATATGCAATAACAAATTTGAATTTAAAACGGTTTGAACATTTGGTTAAAAAAATCGAAATATATAAAAATATTTATAACAACGTCTGAAATGAAATGCTCTCTCTCCCCCCCCGCAGGGGAATTTCAAAAAATTTCTTATTAGTGTGCATTCCCGTGGTGTACCCTACTAAAATGCAATTAAAAACAAAAAATCACATCTAAAATATTACAGTAGAAGCCGTTCTTCCGGTTAAGCCTTAATGTTCTCCCTCTCCTCCCACTGGGGAATTTTGGAAAATCCCTTCTTAGTGTGCATTTCCATGACATACCCTAACTGTGTACCAAATTTCATCTGTTTAGGTTCAGTGGTTTGCTCTGGGCGATGATGAATCAGTGACTAAGTCAGTCAGTCAGTCCAAGTAATTTTATATATTTAGATAAGTGTTATTTTTGGATTGTCGTATTTTGCTTTCCCATTAAGTCCTGGTCTGATACTTGATAGAACCCTAATTTTGTGTAACCCTCCCTTTTTTGTCTCATGAAATACAGTACATTACAAACAATGCACAATTTAGCATTCAATTTTCTACAATTCAATTTTTCAGGTTGACGTAAATTCTTAACCTGAATTGCATATGTAGAAGAGAAAATTGAATAATAAATTGTGTGGTTAAACCAATAGGTATTTGTTTACTGTAGGAAATACATTCATTCATTGTTTATTGAACATACCCAGTTCTGCATGATACACTACTGGGTTATAGTTACAGTAAATTGTAAGTATTACAATGTAGGAGAAAGAATTATACAGTAGGTAATGGTGATGAAGAGAATGTAAGATACAATAAAATACAAATTAGGAAGATAAAAAGTTATGTGGTGGTACAGCAATATAATACAAAGGCTTAAGCTCTAACATAGAATATATAAAATATACAATAAGTGTAACAGATGAACATATGAGACAAGTCACATAGACCAAGTAGAGCCCGACAAGTGGAAGAAGAGTTGAATGTGCATTAGAAATAATGCATGGAAGGTATATACAAATATGTACACAATACAAACAGTCGATCCCCCTATAACACTGTTGATAATTCCGTTTTATATGAATTCCAAGTTGTACGAATCACTTAGATTTTACAAATATGTGTGCCGAGCTGTGAACGGCTCACGTATTTGTAAAATCTAAGTAACTCGTACAACTTGGAATTCATATAAAACTGAATTATCAACTGTGTTATGGGGGGTCAACTGTACTATACTTGACAAAGAATTATATAGTTAAACTAACCAAATTCAAATAAACAGTACAGCTAAACTTATTTATCTTCTTGTGATAGAGTTATAGATAAAAAGATTGCGCAATTTTTTACTTTCCAGTAATGCTTTTCTATTAAGCATTGTCACCTTAAAATAGTGTGTTGAGTATTAATTGTTGTTCAAATAATAATAAAATGAAAAGTTACCAGATTTATTCTGTTAATAGTCATCCCCAAATAATAATCTTACAATTCGAAAAGAAAATAATAGGCATCCTCTGATAAATGGCACAGCTACAAGTCAAAGAAAGATATAGATAGCATGCTGTTTATTAAAACACAGTATATAAAAATGGCTATTAATTAAGTCTATTTAGCAAGCACGACAATGTCCAAACAACAGAGGACCAAGAGAATATATTAAAACTAACTTCTGCATTTACAACTATATTAATCCATATAACCGTCGACTCCGACTAACATTATACTCATTTAACTTTACTCCTTTCGCATTTACTATTAAAATCTATAGCAGAATTTATCGACAACAGTAAATTGCAATCAACTGGTAAAATCTAATTAAAGAACTATTTTTAGACATCCGACCACAGATTTAAACCTCATCCGTCGCCACGAAGGACGACGCTCGCATTTAGTAGATTTCGACGGAAAAACCGGCATTTAACAGAAAGAACCACAGTCTCGAGACGAGTGCCCGGTAAAGCGGTTTTAATACAAACGAACAAACAAGTAGGCAACGGTCCACCTCGAACAAAATGGGCCACATTCGACCACGTTAAAGCCATTTTGCTAGGAGACGCACCCATAGCGACACACGCACCGCTCGATACCAAATTAGAATAACAATTTGCCAAAATTTCCCAATCGAAACGGTTTACAAAAAATACAGTCGAGGAGAAGCACCGTCAAGATTCGAGCTCCGAACGAGGGGTTTCACATCCCAGAATCGTAGATCCTCTCCAAGAGCAAAAAAGTCTACGGAATCGTACCCGTACAAGCAACCGTTCGCAAGATATTTGCCTCCAAAGGTCAGCTTTTAACACGTATCGGTATACGACCCATCCTTTGCCATCCGCGTAGTCGTGCCCTTCGGCGCCCTCCAAGGGACGAGTCCCCGCCCTGTCCCAAAACTACGTAACATCTCAGAGTCCTTCGCCAGCGGTCGAGCGGACCGCCCGAAGCCGACGTAACGAGGCGGGCGAAACGGTTATACGCGACAGTCTCGGCAGAGTGGCGGGACCGGATTTCGGGGGCCGTAGGCGGCAAAGGAACACCGCAGAGGTACGGTTCCTCGGACCTTTTGGCTCCCGCGAGGTCCCAACCGTCTCGTTCGGAGCTCGAATCGTACCAAAGCGTTTAGGACGTTATTCACGCATCTCGATAGTTTGAGCAAAACAAAAAAACAAAGTCAAAGCGGTACAAGTACCGCTTACGTGTGGAGGGGGGTATTCCGCCAAACGAATCGACATCGTAACGAAATGTAGAAGACAGGAAACGAGTTGGCACATAAAGATCAAACTTTACTACGCGCACCGTCACGGCCGCCCACGTTCTAACCTAACCTAACCTATTCTAATAAATTACCAATAATTTAAGTAGGTAATAAATAATAAGTAGGTAAAGTTTAGCCCACATAAATAAATGGGAAAATGCCAAGAAGCGCGGACGTGCGGAAATTTAAAAAGCAAATATTTAATTTAGTAAAATTGTCTTTATTGCATAATTTGAAGTAAACGAGATTAATTAACCGGAAGGCAAACGAAATTGGTAATTAAACCTGATAATCTTGTAATTCTTCTTCCGTAAACGGAGTCGAATGTCTCTGACCCATAATCGACTTTTCAAATAAATTAATTAAAACCCAACGAGCACCGTAAACAGAAAAATTCCAATTCAAACGACAGTGTTGCCAGATTCGTAACTTTAATTATTTAAATTTTGATAAAATTAAAATTAATTTATTTTCCGTCATTTCGTATTGTCTTGTATCAACAATATTTCTAATTCATTTTGTTGGCCAAGAATTTAATGCGGTGCGTCTTACACGCAAATTTTCTCGTCCAACGACGTAATTAAAATACTCCGGTAGCCTACTGAAATTTTCTTATAATTATTATTGTAATTTAGAAACAAAATTAAGATTATAGAATATAAAATTGATTTCTTATTTATATTTTGAATACCATCGAAACAGATATTTTACGTAAGGTCGTAGTCTTAAAACCATTTAAGTTGCAACGTTTATTCAAACTTTTAGTTTTATCGTCGTACGTAACGATAAATTATAAAAAGAAATAACTGATGAATTTTGGCGCAAATGGATTTATAAATAATACAAAATGAAATTGACAATTTCTTCTTACAACCGGAAAAGGGTTGGAGTTTACAAAAAGACTCGTAATATCACTCAAAGTAAAACGGCCTCCTGATTTTGAAACAGAGTCTTATTTACAATCGTCAGTCTCGTGCTTTTTAATCGTTAATTTACTTCACTTTCACTATTGTCGAAATTTGTTACGAGCCGATATTAATAGAAATGTACTCGATGTCACGTTTCGACGCTTAAAAATTATATAAGTTAGGTCTGCATTTTTCTCAAAATCTTTACTCTCCCCTCTCTCTATTGCCCGAGTTTCCGTAACCCACTTCCCTCTTCGGACATCCAAAACTCGACCGCCCTCAAAAGTCTTCGTCGCTTTTTGAATAACTTACGGACGAGCCCGGCGTTGCTCGGGCAAAACTAACCATAGCAAAGATTAGTATTAGGTTATAGCCGATCTCACTTGTTTTCGGCGGATCTCCTTTCTTCCGAGACGAGAATTTTTACGTATCTGCTTACAACGCGGGAATAACGACCATCGAGACTGGCCGCAACCACTAACCCGGGGTTGTCCGACCTTTTTTCTTAATGGGCCAAATTAGAAATTTAGGTATATTCGGCGGGCCACAAAGGTAATTTATATATAAATACAGTAATGCCTCGTATAATGTACGCCTCGAATAACGAACGCTGCGAACAACGGACTTTCTGTTTGGCCGTTCGTGACTCGAGCAACGGACTGGCTGCAAACAACGGACTTTCCGTCCGACAGTTACGTGAGGCGAACAAGTGCGAATGATGTTTCCACTCTTTTGTCGTTGCCAATGACAATCTGCTATTTTTATAATATATTAACATTATTAGAATATATTATTAGTATATCTAAAGTACAGAGCTCCCGTTAGGATTCGGCTTGCTCCCTTGTTTGTTACGTACAGTACATCACCTCAGTGCAGGGTATATACATTTATTCAAGTGTTGTGCAAATCATGGCTTCTAAAAAAACAAAGGTGATTTCAATTTTAGTAAAGCAAGAAATCATCATCAGGAGTGAAAGTTCACAAAAACTTTCTTGTCGAATGGGGAGAGGTTCAGGAGTTTACTAGGGTTTCTTTCCCGGGATTCTCACCGTTTATTCCCTACGAGAAAAATCCCGGGAAATTTAATTTTTCCGGGAAATCTCACATTTCAATAATAATTTACCATTAAGGTTTTCTTTTTATTATTTATTATACGAAAAGTTGCATCTTGAAGACTCACCTAAGAGAGAAATTTTGAGGTTTCTTGCTGCATATTATTACCTATGTTTTACAAGTCTCTACTTGTTAGTTCATGTAATATCTATGTATTGTGTTTGCGCATCATTGAACAGCGGAGACTTGCTGAAAGTAAATATCACTCATCGCACTTTAGTTTATTTTTTATTTCATCTTTAGAAGTAAAATAGTATTTTTTTCGTAATCATTAAAACTCCCAATGAAACGCTTTATTTTACTTTCATCTTATAATGTAGGAGAATATAAATTAATTGAGCCTAACGTGTCTGTATGGGTGAAATTGGCCCTACACTTTTAGTTACTTACTAGAAAATAAATTAAATTATTCAAATTTATGATATTCCTGTATGATCTTTTTTATTCATATAAAATTATATTTTACTATCTCATCCCGGAATTTCCCGGGATCCCAGGAAAAGAAATTATTTTTCCCGTAATCCCGCTGGAGGCAAATTTCCCGGGAAATGAAAAACCCTAGAGTTTACCAACATTCATTATCCAGAGCTGAGGCCAACAGGATCAATAATCTCTACAATGACATCCTTGCCCGTCATTTTCGACAGGTGTTGAAGAAGAAAGAGAAACAGACCATCTTGGACATGTTTTTCAATAAACCTCAGGCAAAAAACAAAGGATGGAACAAGAGGAGTTAAACCTGCAAGCTCCGGTAGCCTCTCCTGAAACTGACTCCGATTAAAAAACAATAAAAAGAGACCTGCTGCAATGTGTAAAAAGTCTGTATCTGTATGGTAAACAGACGTCTGATGTATCTCTTAGATAAAAATGAATACTTTTCACCACATCAGAGTGGTTTTCGTAGGAACAGACGTACCACTGATAACTTAGTAAACCTTGAAACATGTATACACGAAGCGTTTGTTAGACGACAGCACTTAGTGTCTGTGTTTTTTGATATAGAGAAGGCCTATGATCGCTGTTGGCGATATGGGATACTCCGTGATCTGGACCATTTCGGATTGCGGGGTAATTTGCCAATTTTCATAAAAAACTTCTTAGAGAATCGAAGATTCCAAGTCAGGATGGGCAACACTTTATCTAGACCTTTCACGCAACAAGAAGGTGTTCCTCAAGGCTCTATTCTGAGTGTGACTCTGTTCCTAATTAAAATTAATAGCATAGCTAACTGTCTTCCCCCTAGTTTGAAACACTCTTTGTATGTGGATGACTTTCAGATCTCCTGCCAGTCTAGCAACATGAGTTTTATCGAGAGACAACTACAAACCTCCCTAAATCGCATAGACCATTGGTCCAAGACTAATGGTTTTAGTTTTAACATGGAGAAGTCCTCGTGCATCCACTTTTGTCGAAGGCGTGGTTTGCATTTGGATCCGGAAATTTACCTAAACGGGGATAAAATCCCAATGGTGAATGAGACTAAGTTTTTGGGTGTTTCTTTCGACCAAAAACTGACATTTTTGCCACACTTGCAACCTGAAGAGTAGATGTTTAAAATCTTTAAACCTTTTAAAGGTACTTTGTTGCTTATCCTGGGGAGCAGACAAAGTTTCGATGCTCAGGATTTATAGGGCCCTTGTCCGCTCTAAGCTGGACTACGGTTGCATCGTTTATGGCTCTGCGCGAGAATCTACTCTTCCAATGCTGGATCCAATCCACCATCAAGCTTTGCGTTTGTGCACCGGTGCATTTCGAACTTTCCCTGTTCAAAGTTTTTATGTGGATGCTTATGAGCCTTCACTATCTCTCAGGAGAGAACAGTTGTCTTTTTTTTATTACATTAAACAAAAATCTCAGAAAAAACTTACAGCTGATTGTCCAGATATTCAGCTGAAAAGATTATTTGCTGCTCGGACGAATTGTGTCCCTACATTCGACATAAGAATGGAGAATGTAAGCAGCACGATTGACCTAGACACAAGCAACATCTCACATGTTAAGGTTAATAGTATTCCACCTTGGTCAACTTCACCGATCGATGTTGATTTAAGCTTAAAGCAGTTCCCTAAAGAAACCACGCCAGACTACGTCTATAGACAGCACTTTGCAGAAATTCAGCATCGTAACAGGAATTTAATTCCTATATACACCGATGGATCTAAATCGGATAACTATGTTGGCTTAGCCTTTGTTTGCCAGGATGAAATTGTGGCAGAACAAATAGCACCGAATTCTTCCATCTTTTCTGCAGAGTTGCAGGCTATTTATTTAGCCTTAAAGTATATAAATCAGAAAGGTCATCGTTGCTGCGTGATTTACACCGACTCAGTTAGTGCACTTCAGGCTTTGATCTCGTACGAACGTAGTTCTCACTCCATAGTTATTAATCCGTTCCAGGTGCACGTACGTTAAGTGAAAAGTCCGTTATACGAAACGCATTTTCCCATAGAAATACATGTTAAAACATATAATTCGTTCCGCAGCATAAAATAACTGTACTGTACCATAAAAAAATGAAAATGGAGCAGTCACCAATTATGCCGGGTAGTCATATGTTGTGAGGAGGAGGTGGAGGAACACTTTCTTCACACATTCATACAGATACAGGTTGGTTGGTTGGTTGGTTAATTTTTATTGGCACAAAAGCCATGCAGGCTATACTGCGCCACGACACATGGTACAATTGAGGGTAGAAAATAAATAGGGGAACATATATACACATAAACGAAACATCACAGTTTAACCATTAAAAAGCCAATGGTAATATAAATATAAAATCTAGAATATAATAAATAAATAAATAAATAAACAACAACAGAAATAAGTAAACAAACAATAACAAAAGATATATACAATAATTTAGATATGCAACTCAAAGTAAATAAAACTGTACAATAAATAAATCAGCAGATTTCCCTATACATATTAATGACTTTTAGAAAGTCCAGTATATTATCCAGATTTGGCCTCTGGCCCAAAATGTCTCTAAAGCTTGCATTTCCGAAATGCTGTCTACGACTCTGATCAAAAGCAACACAGTTGCAAAATATGTGTTTAACACTTACAGCACAGTTGCAGTGCTGACATACTGGTTCGTCATCTCCCTTCAAAAGGTATTGATGAGTCAGTCGAGTGTGTCCAATTCTCAAACGAGTAAGGATAACCTCAGATCTCCTATCATATTGCCTGTTATGTGTCCAATTCTCTACCAAAGGTTTGATCTCGTGAAGTTTATTGTGGATTTGTGCATTCCACATGATTTGCCATCTCTCTGCTAGTCGTTTTTTAACGACTAGCTTCAAATCACCTCCTTCAACACGCATTGTATGCTGTGAAGGACTTGCTGACTTAGCAGCTGTATCAGCTTCTTCATTACCTCTTATATCCACGTGGCCTGGGACCCAACAGAACTTCACAAAAAAATTTCTCGTAGTGAGATGACGAATTAGTTTTCGAATTTTAAGTACGTTATACGAGGCACCACTGTATATGCTTTTAAAAAGTTTAAAATGTAAATATCGAATTTTAATAACAAATGTATATAATTACAAAAAGTACTGTATTGTAGCCTTAATTTTATAATATTCTTAATATCTGCTTTTGTAGTATTAGTCTTAATTCCAAGAGCGCGAGTTAAATGGAAATAACTCGACCTATTTCTTTTATCAGCTTTGATGTTTTTTTATGCACGAAAAAATTGTTTACCACACTATGTACTACTCCACGTGCATATTAGTTCTCTAGACAAATTGAAAAAGTGGACTTGTTTATAAAATTCGAGAAAGGAATGTTCTCTATAATAAGTTTTCAAACAAGTTCAACGAGTTCTAGCTGGTTTTCGGCCGATGCTTCTACGTAATTAAATGAAAATGGATCGCTAAACAATTTTAATTCGGTTTTTATTTTTCTTAAGTCAGAAAATCTGTTTGTTAAATCTTTTGACAAAACTTGACGTAATTTACTATATTTTTCAAAGTTCACGGAAACTCTGAAAATGCACAATTTCACCGTGACAAATAATATTTTTCTGACCAAAAGATATTGAATTTTCTTTTTTCTTCTCTTATTTTTCTTTTCTTAGAATTAATGCTGGGACCAAATGCTGGGTTATTAAAAATATAAATTTAAAGTTAATGAAACAATTATGAATATAATTGGAGGTTGAAATTATTTAAATTATTATGTTAGCAAAAGTAATATATAGATAGAACTATGTCTATATTATATAATTGTAATTAGAAAAAATGCCAAAGTGAAAGGGTCTAATTTATTTTTTATTTTTATAAAGAATAAATTAGCCCTTTCCGCTTTGGCATTAGAATTAGCCTCCAGCCAATAAAACTGGCTGACACTCGTGGGCGTAGCCAGAGTTTTGTTATGGGGGCCTAGTAGAGGCCAACTCGACACAAAATTGAATTATTTCAAATTATTGTTCGTTAAAATGGAATTTCCATAAGAATCGACAATAACTTAACACACGTAAAATATGAAACTTCCTTTAATCGTACGTTCTCGTAACATTAATATCAAACTCTAACAATGCCTTAAACAGAAATTAACCAATCAATTATTTTTTTTACCATTCTTTAATATAGTTCATCGTCTTTAATGTAGCTAGATATAGACCACGGGTGGCCGACAGTCTTTTCCTCCGGGCCGAATTGGAAAGAAAACTTTTTTCACTGCCCGAACCAGAGGAGGCCCTAGCGAGATTTTCGGTGATGCGAGATCTTATTGTAGTGTAGAGACTAAACTGTACATACAGATTATGGATACACTTTTCACATTGGGCACAGAAGGCCGATGACCTTTTTTTAGGATCAGAATTTCTCAACTTTCCTATAACTTTACATTGTCAGGTTGTAGTGAATTATCGCGGATCCATTCAGCCAATTATTTGAAGTTCAGTCCAATATTCAGAGATTAATCGCGGGCCGCGGTACGTTACGCGCAATTAAAATTAGCTTCAACTTTTTATTTCTTTTTGCAAATCGGCTCAATACTTTTTCGGCTGTGATTTTCCGGGGAGGGCACCGGGTTGACTGGGGGCGTGCCCACCCATGCCCCTTGCTGACACTCTTTTGAAAAGAGGGATTATGTCTTTTTCATCCACCTGATGAAAGATACCGATTCTTTATAACTAACAACATCACTTTGTGAGAATCTGAATTTAAGATTCATTTATTTTTCTAAATTATAAAAATTGATGTAATATTTTGTCGCAAAATATTCGACAATTTTAGGGAAATTAGGAGAAGATAAGAAAATACAATTTCCTTTCCCAACCATTTATTTCCTTAGAGAATTCGCATCTGTGAAGTTAGCGGACTGGGGTGGAATTGTCGGGACCATCGAGCGGTCGACACTGTCGTGTGAAGGTGTAATGACTCGCCGAGGAAGGTTTACCATCGTAAACCGTTTAATAAATTTGAAAATTTCTCTTACAACAAATCCTTAAAAAGGCGTAACACCTCTCCAAATTGAAGATGTTGGAGATGATTAGTGAAAATTATACTGAAAATTTTCTTCCCCAGGGGGGAGATGTAAAGAGAAAAATCTCTCTTTCAATTAAAAAACAACTTTATCCACGTGTCGCACTGTCATCGACATGAGACATAAGAAAAAACAATATGGCATAATCGATACATGGTGAAGCGGGAAAAGATAAATAATAAAAAGGAATTGATATAGTGAAGAATAAACTTTAAATGTCGTTTCTTTGTTTACAGGTGAGAGTGTCAATTACATTTCAGAAGTGTTATTTCGGTAATGTAACTTTAAAACTAATAAAATAAAAAAACTTTGTTTACAGAGCAACACATCGTGGTTTATTTCATTTGTCAAATCATTCCTTTTTGAAGAAATTAAAAACCTTATATATATAGATAAAAGGTATAAATTGTGTAAAATTTAATGAAATAAAGCAAATGTCCATTCAAATTCAACCCCTCCCCCTAACTTTGAGTTGTCATAACCCCCTCCTCCTTCCAGTATGGAAGGCCCTAACAAAATAAAACCATGCATTATTGATAACAACATATGCTGACTCCAGTTTACAGGTTTTTTTGCAAATTTTATATTAAGAACATTTGGGTGGCAGAATGGCTACAAATACAAGATAGCTTCAAAAAGTTCTGGAAATTGGTTTATTACTGAAAAGTATGTGTAGGACTGACAAATCAAGCAACATGTTCTTCAAAGCATTGTCCTTCGGCAACTGCATGCTTTTGCCAATTCTGGTATAGCTGCTGAAAATGTTTTTTGGAAGCCATCTTGTGACAGCCCCACAGCATAAATGTCACAGTCTGTATAACCTTGTCCGCATTCTAGAAGTGGTGTCCCTCAATGGCATCTTTCGACAGGAGAAAGAGGTAGAAATAGCACTAGGTCTGCTGTGAGCATTTGTGGCAGTGCTTTTGCCAGTTGTAAACTTGAGAATGCTTTGTGGCAGATTTGATGTAAGCATCTTTAGGTCTTGGAGGATTTTTTCCCCAATAACACACAAATGTGATATTTGCATGTTGCTGTTCTGCACACATTTTCACCAGGTTCTGTTTCTCAACATCTCACTAACACGACCTTTGGTGAATAGTAACTGTTGTCGTCTTTGCAGCGCATATGGAATTGTTTGAACACATTTCTCTATTCCTGGCATGTTTAACTAAGACATGCATTACACAATTACACATTCTCTTTGACTGACTAACCCAGCATAATTCTGGAAACTTTTTGATGTTACCTTGTATATTGGGTGGCAAGAGCAAAAAGTTTTAGAAATGCTGGTCTAAGCTATAACACATAGCAGGACCTTCCTCTCCACCAAATATTCACACATTATTTCCAAACACAAACCAATCAGCAGAAGGTGGCAATTTGTCGTAGTGCTGTACTTTCCTTAAATTTGTGTGTGTTTGGTGCAATTTTGGAAAAAAATATACATCATAGATGCCATAGGCAATATTGACTTCGCTTGGCAACAATTAACTGACAAATGCATGAACAGAGTGTGGAAGGTATGGCCAGAGGGATCTAAGAATTCTCAAAGAGAGGAGCCTATCATCGACCAAATTGTCAACCTAATTGATACAGCAGGACTAGGAGATGTATACGAGCAGGATATCAAGGAGTTAATGCAGGTTACTGGTGAGACCCTTACCAATGACGACCTTCAAGAACTGGTAGAACAAGGAATTTGTGTAGAACTGGAAAATAATGATTCTGAAAATGAAGAACCCAAAGAATTTCTCTACAGATTTCCTTGGTAAAGGTTTGGTAACAATAACTGAAATCATTGATCAAATTGTAGTGAATGATCCAGATTTTGAAAGGAGTGCAAAAGCAAGATGAGGCTTTTTGGATGCGATCTCGTTACCGACATTTGCTTAAGGAAAGAAAAAGAAAGCAACAAATGAAACTACATGACTTTATCGCAAAAACAAGAATTTCAGAAGAGCCAGGACCTTCATCATAAAAAAGTGAACTTTACATTTCTGTGTGCATATGTTTGTGTTACTTAACATATTTTTATATTAATTTGCATAATAATATAACTTAAAATTAGTTTATTTTTTATCATGTGTTCCCCCATCCCTATTTACTCTATGTTAAAATGACCTTGTTTAATGCTGTTTCACTTAGTGCTTTGTTGTCTAGAATGCATCACCCACGTTAAGTGGGGTCTTACTGTATCTTACACATTATTTAAAATTGCAGTATCACATATGCTAATTGACCCTGTGCAATTAGCATATGTGAGTAACATTGATGAGATGAGCATATTTTTACAAAACAATGCAATATTGCATATAATTACACAATAGCAGACAATATACAGATACAATCAATAATATGTATATTAGAGTAAAAACCACTTTTACTTATATGTATCATATACATTACCCAAAATATGTAACTTTTCCTGCAAACCTACATGATTTATGGATCAATAACCAAACTTCATTCTGCTTTCATCACAAAGAAATTATTCAAATGAACATACATAGAGAGAGCCCTGCATAAATTTTTAAATAATTTTATTTTTGGTAAATTATTTAAATTAATTTGTAGCCCAAAATAATGCAATGTCTGTAAGATAATGTTCACTATAATAATTTGTAATTGAAGTAAAATTGTCAGCTTTCAATATATTCATTAAAACTTGCTGCAATAAAGAAAACTATGGAAAGACACTAGTATTTATGTATTCTGAAGCTTTAATTATATCTTATAATTTCATTACTTTTAATAAATATTAGTAATTAATCAAGTATGGAAACAGTAATTTAACCCTTTAAAAAAATATATTTTTGGTGCAGTTTGGATCGGTATACACACATTCGATAAATATCTGAACAACAATTTGGAGATGTAAACTTTGAATTTTTCAGC